TTGATAATTGTCTAACCGAGCTTATTTAAATTAATGTCGAAATTTATTTTCATTGAGAGGAAGTTATTGTTATATAGAATACTATCCAAACGAGTTTTCGTGAACTTTTTAAAATTTGGGTAATGTAATATTTGTTGCAAATTATTCAAAATCGTTTGTGGAATCACGTGATATGTGTATAATAATGTAATCTTTGATTAGGAGAGGAACTGTTTCATTAAGTACATTTAGGTGTAATTAATTCATTAAAATTATCGGGGAGAAATTTTTTTATCAACATTCGATTAAACGACGCTTGATAATTGTCTAACCGAGCTTATTTAAATTAATGTCGAAATTTCTTCTCATTGAGAGGAAGTTATTGTTATATAGAATGCTATCCAAACGAGTTTTCGTGAACTTTTTAAAATTTGGGTAATGTAATATTTGTTGCAAATTATTCAAAATCGTTTGAGAAATCACGTGATATGTGTATAATAATGTAATCTTCGATTAGGAGAGGAATTGTTTCATTAAGTACATTTAGGTGTAATTAATTCATTAAAATTATCGGGAAATTTTTTTATCAACATTCGATTAAACGACGCTTGATAATTGTCTAACCGAGCTTATCTAAATTAATGCCGCTCGTTCTCCAATTATATAGGAGAGAAAAAGGTTAAAGTTAACGCAATTAAAAAATAAGCTAGATTAGAGATTGAATCCGCTTGTTTGAACTTGAACTCCATTTGTTATATTAATCTATCCGATTATGTGAACTGTCCCCCGTCGGATTAAGTATTAAGTGCTAGATCGAGTTTGCAAGATTACTTTCAAATTTAAAAATAGATATTTAATGTTATGCAATTTAGAAAAAATATATATATATATAACTCTTATTGATTAAACGAAAAATCATTATGTGAACCGTTTTATGAACATTATAATTGTATGAATCTACTTTTTAGATAAATTAAACATAAATTTTTCTCTGTTATTTGTGATGATTTTATTACAACTAATTCATTTTTTTAATAGATAATATTCATTGAAGTGACATTTTAAATAAAAATTTCACATTTAAAATTCATTTAATTAATCATTGACAAAGAAAGCTTTTATTTCAATAATTAGAATTATATATGATTCGTGTGTTTATACAAATAAGATTTCTTTTAGAAGACGTATTAAATATTTTTATATATTAATATTTAATATTTAAATTCAATCTTTAAAATCTTTCAAAAAATATATATTTCCATTTTCTATATTCATTTTAAATATAAATCAGCTTTTGGAAAGTATATCTTTCATTTTGATATCGAAATTTTAAATACAAAAAATAAACAAAAATTATATAATTTATATCATAATCAGAGAATTTTTCAAGTATTAACATATTTGTTTATAATTTTTTCAATAACTTATATTCGCCCAATTAAAACAAAAAAAAAATGAATCCCAAATCCAACATCAAAGCCACATTAAAAAAAACTAATCTAAGACAATAAATATTTTCTTTTCCATTTCGCAAAATTACCAATAAAAGATATTATTAATATGCTCGGATCATGGACGAGTTGACGACAAATGTCCCGTTCGCGCTCGTCATTGTTTACACCCTCGCACGGTCTGTATTTTATATTCCCCTCGTGAAATGGATAAAATCGGAATTGAAATCGACGAAAAGTGTTCAACACTGGATAAAAAGTTGGAAAGGGACAATGGTTTTCATTGGGAGCGTCGAGCGAGCATTAATTAACGGCCGGCGGGTAACGTTATCGCTGGCTCCCAGATAATTATTATGCAACGCATACACGGGAATAACGTGCCGATAATTTCGCACCATTCGAACAAATCTGCGCAAACATGATTAATATTACGAACTTTGTAATGATATCGGATATTCGAGGATCCCGCTCGTTTCTATCGCGTTCGATGACATAATTAATGATAAGCGTGTGTATATATATATATATATATTAATATACACCTTCGACGATCTTCCTTTCGCCGGGTAATATATTTTTAATCGTGCGTGGTTGAGTAAGAGGTTGGTGCGATTATGTAAACAAATGTAGTACGTACGTATCATTTTACGATATAGAACCACAAAAAAAAAAAAATAAATAATATTATCGAAATTCGATAACTCGCAAGGATTTTCGAAAATTATGCAAATTAAAAGAATAAATAAAAATGGAAAGAAAAGAGAATTCGTATTCGTAAGACGTAATAAATAACCCAGTTTGAGTTATAGAGACGCTGACGATAGCTTGAATTTCTCTGGATTTATAATAAAATGTATTTCTTATTCCGTTGAAATAATATAACAAGTTTATAAGTTTCGATTTACAGAGGTTTTTATGGGGAATACGAGAGGAAACGAGTGAAATTGTAATCTTATTTCACAGTCTTATAAATGTTTGATCTTGTATGTAATTACAATTTCTCTCCGCTCCTTCTTCTTTCGTCTCGCTCTTAATTATCGTCTTGCTCCACTGCAACCACGTTAAACGATTTATCAGGCACGATAATTGGACAATAATTATACGAGCTATCGTATCACAAGAAAATATTATACGTTTCCTCTATAGATATCTTAATTCACCTTCCTATAACTCTGTAATTATACTCTGTTAATTATTGAACGCATATATATATATATATATATTGTTTAATCGCGTTTTTGGATAATAAACACAATCTCTCGGGAACAATCGCTAAATAGTTGCAATTTAATGAAGAGTTAAGAGTTCTCTCAAGAGTTGGTAGTAAATTAGAAATAAGTAGAAACAAGTATTGGAAAATTGAAATTATAATATTTGTATTCACAGATTTAAATAAAGTATCCTTAATTTAATCGAAGGCAAAAATAGACAAAATATGTTTAAAGTATTATTCATTTGAAATATTTTCTTTTTTCAATATTATTATTTCCTTAAGTAATTTTAAAATAAAACGATTCTGAATGTTTCCAATTCCAAGATTTAGATATTCATTATCAATATCTGAAATATCAACTCACTTGTGATAAAACTCTAGTAAAAGGTGATTACTTATGTTTTCCTAAATTCTTAAACTACCAATATTTCCTCTGTTCCACACCTCTCAAAAGACACAACCTCTTCAACCTCATCACACCTCATCCCACAACCCTCGATTTACTTGGAATAAAATTTCTAATTCGACACATGCCCGGGAACCAGTCTCCCTCCACTCGTGTTTTGTC